ACGTTACGTCTCACGTTACGTCTCACGTTACGTCTCACGTTACGTCTCACGTTACGTCTCACGTTACGTCTCACGTTACGTCTCACGTTACGTCTTACGTTATCTTAATAATAATCCCAACTTTAAAATTACTAACTTCAATTTTTGTATGCCAATGAAATTCCTAAACAGGGGGTTGTTTTTCGGTTAACACGAAGTACCGCCAACAAGAGACCCTGTGCTTGAGGCCACTACCGCTGCCCCTTTGTTGACAGTGCACCCAAACCCAAAATAGAGAGCTAAATGAAGTAAATTTCTAGAATGTTTATACAGCCACCAAGCTTTCTGGTGGTCAATCGAACTTTCTACGGTGCACACATTCGTGCTACTACACCGGCAGCATTGTTTAAATCCAGGTACCAGGTGGTCAGTGCCTCGGTGCCCTCGGTCAGAGCGAACACCTCTATGTTCAGTGTTGTGGGTTTGCATACCATTTCATACCGCAGGGGCCAAGACACATTATGGGCTGACAGCATAGGCCAAGCACACCCCGTACAACTAAAAATGTTTACTTCTTTATTTACATTAGGATATATAATTTAGTTTTCTTTATCATGGGTTCGTTTCGCAGTTTACACGAAGTGTTAACGTTTTTTTTTTAACAGTGCGTTTTTTCCTTAGCTTCCTTCTCGCCCACCGAGTACACTTTACTGGGATTCCTGAGGGTGCTGCTGCTGCGTGGAGAAGAGGCGCAGCGCTGCCGTCAGCTCGAGTCTCACAAGGACAAAATGAGAGCGGACCCCAAGATCCGCTGGCAGATGGACGTACTGGCTGTGCAGCTTCTGCCTTGCATAGCAGCTTTTTCCCTGGAACAACGCTGCTGGGCCTTTGGAGTCATGGAAACCAACTGCTTTTCGTACAGTGAGCGCCTAAGCGGGCGGAAGGTATGTGTGGCTTAGGAGGTAACGATACGTTTCTGTTGGGCGTTTATTGGCGCGCACTTCCGCTTTTAAAAAAGCATTTACGCGGTGGTATACAACGGCCCTAGTGTGCGTCCGTCTATCTGTCCGTCGTCCATGTTAGAGGAGGGAGACTAGCTGGAGGTCTTCAAGTTTCAGGGTATCTTAAGGTGATACAGGACTGAAACTGGAAAAGTCCGTCAAAAAATCGCTATTTTGAGTTTAAAATTAAAATATGCGAATCAAATCAAGGAAAAGCTCTCTATTTCATTCCAAGTTAGTTCATTGCGGTTTTGTAAGGTATAAAGAGTCTTTAATTAAACGTAACTGTGGGTGCGACACGTTTTTTCTCTTCAAAAATTGCGTACACCTCAACTTTTCACTTTTCCACTTTCAGTCACTTTTCGCAATTTTCCCTTCACTTTTTCACCGTTTTACAACGTTTACTTCATTTCTTCCCTCTATTTTATTAATTTTCGATCTGATCAACGCACGATTAGTCACTTTTGTCCACATTTTTTTTCAGTTTTCGTCCCATTAAGTCAACTTTTTGTCAACTTTCACTTTAACTTTTATAGACAAGGCATCAACTTGACTTTTTGCCATTGTTCTCAATATATCCACCTCTAGGGCCGAAACAGTGAAAGATACGGCAAATCCGAGGGTATTTCCTTATTCAGAATGTGTTGTTTTGGGGTGGTACTTCCTCTTCCATTTTACGATTGGACGCCTCCTAGTACGTCCTTAAGTGCAACGTGGTCATTTTCGCCGTATTTTCGTCGAAAAAACCACTCTAGCGCCCAAACGGTAACGGTGCAACATAGAGGCAAACGGACCAAATTTTAGTCCAAAAGGGTTCTACTTTCAAGAGTTACCCCTTAGGAGACCATAAAAAAATTGATTATCTACTTTTTGGACCAACCCCTATTTCTTTGTTACCCCCTTTCATCCCCTTATGGATTTGCACCAGGCGTTTCGTTGTCCAGGAGTGACCTTTAAGATACCCTGAAACTTGCAGACCTCTAGCTCATCTCCTTCCTCTTACACGGCGGACGACGGACGGACAGACAGACGGACGGACAGACGGACAGACAGACGGACGGACAGACAGACGGACGGACAGACAGACGGACGGACACGAGAGAGGTTGCATAGCAAAGCAGAAGGGCGGGCTAAAAACAGTGTAGAGTAAGTGTTGTATTGTGCAGCAATATAATACACAAGTAAAATCGTGCAAAGCTGTGCATGCACGGTATCATTTATTCACAGTAATGCAGTTTTGTACTAGCTTCATGAAATCGATATTACGTACAATTTGTGTTTAAATATTCATTTAAACCAACGCCAAAACAATTTTTGCTTTCAAACAGTAAATATTCTACATTATTATGCAATTCTAAAAATGCCCCTACACATTAAGCGTGTGAGCGTTGTTTCATTAGTGCTCTTCGTGTGCAGGCGAGTGAACTACCTTTCCCCCTCCAACAGGCCTTGGTTCTCATGGACAGGATCTCCATGTTCGGACACTCCTGCGTGTGCAACGCGTTCGGCAACTGCTACTTTCTACCCGAGGGGGCGACAGGGCCGACCGCCCTGCTGGGCTTGCGGAAGGTGCTGGTGGCAGCCACAGACATAGAGCCAGGAGAGGCCATCACCGTCAACTATACCCATCCTCATTTACCCACGCCAAAGCGACGCGCCGAGCTGCTTCAGACGAAGTTCTTTAGGTGTCGCTGCCGCCGCTGTGAGGACCCCGCTGAACTCGGGCTGCACTCTGGCGCCCTCTGCTGTGAGGCCTGCATGGGTGAGTTCACACGTACTCCGGCTGCACTCCGGCTGTACTGTAGCTGTTCTCCAGCTGTACACCCAAAAAATTGTACCCTTAAACCAAGAAAAATTCTCTTCAGAAAATAGCAGAACATGTTTGACCTTGGCAACTCCGTTTGGCGGAAGGGTGGGCCTGGTTGTTAGAAGCTCGTTCCCTTTCTAGACGTGTCCTACGTTATATATCAGTTTATTGTACTCTGATGAAAACATTAGATTTTTGACTCACGTTCAACTCGCAATTATACATGAAATCGGGAAGGTTGGATCCCCATCAGTTTGGCCGTCGTTCCGTCATCTCTTCACGGCTGGTGGCTACTCGACTCGATTTTCAAGGCTTCGCCTTCGCCTCTTATTCCTATTCATATTCTTTATCTTTTATTGCTTTAAAGGCTCAGCCAATGAACTTGGCCTTCGTCACTCTGGAAACTCAAGTGTCGTACAGTATCACACTTCTTGAGTTTCCAGAGCATTCCCTTCTGTCATCCCCGGGTGCTCCTCTGACTATAGTCACTATAGTGTCACTGTTGGCTCTTCGTTATCGCTTTTATAGTAATACGTTATTTCGTTAACCTTTGTACAGGCCGCGCGCAGATGCAGTTGCCTGTTCCTCGTCGCCCAGAAGACCCACCAACATCATGGAGATGCCCAACATGCAGCCAACCTATGGATCGGTCTGTCCAAGCTTCTATGTGGGTGTTCGACCAGCTCGAGTCAGCAGTATTCGCTGGCCAGACGCGAGGTGATATTGGGGCGCTGGAGGCGTTCTTGCACGACCACGTCTACCCGCGCGGCCGCCTGCACCCTACCCACGAACTTGTTTTGGATGCCAAGTACGCGCTCGTGACGCAGATGTACGGCCATCTGCCGGGATTTAACGTGCAAGGTTCGCAATTTATTCAACCACACTGGTTTGAAACTCATGGTCTACTTAACCTAACCTACCATAGCATTTGTTGAAGAAGAACGTATAGCACACATCAGTTGTAAATTTTTGTTTACAAAGTAGAAGTAGACAGCAAATGTACCTTGCATAAGGGTGGTCCCAACCGAGCGATCACTACGGGCTAAAGGCCCCTTCTCTGATAGAAACTTATACAGCTGTACGAAACAATCTGAAAGGAGAGGCGGAAGGTTCGTACTAAGTGCCGCCACCGCACGGTAAAAATAGTTTCTTGTATTTCAAGACTTGCTCTTGGATGCCATTGGCGTTCTCCATGAGATCCAAGACAGGGTCTTGAAACACAAGAAAAATTTTACACCATGCGGTAGGCCGAGCTCGGCCCCGGCCCGCTCTTTGCCGAACCGAGTTGTTGTGGCAAAGCGGAGCTGGAAACTTGGATTGGTGGAAGAGCGGTTATTTTTTACGAGGGATGTATTCTTTTTAGCCCGCCCTTCTGCTTTTAAAATAGCATTAAAGCGGGCTTATGCAACCGCTCTCGTGTCCGTCTGTCTGTCCGTCTGTCCGTCCGTCGTCCGTGTAAGAGAAAGGAGATGAGCTAGAGGGCTGCAAATTTCAGAGTATCTGAGGGCACTCCTGGACACCCGTACAAAAGGAAATCGATCTAGACTGTCTCGAGCCAAGATATTGTAAAGACACAATGCAGACGCCGTTGAGTCTTTTTCGAGACTTTCTGGAGACGGTTTCAGAGACGGCGTC